TGATTTGCAGTTAAACATTCTACCCCTGAATTACACCTCCATAGCAATCATGCGTTTGCATACAGTATTGGGGAAAAAAGCACCTGGCTGTACTGACTGCAGGAGCAGGTGGTGCCTCTCACACATGGCGGTGGGAGTCCTCTCTGGGGTTGGACATGTAAGGTGGCCCCCCCAGGCTGTGACCAGCGTGACGTGTCACAATAGCACTTCATCCCCTGTACTCCCACCTCCCCTGCCCTATGTAGGTATATCTACACTTGCACCCGCTTTCGAGAGAGGGATGCAAATGCAGACATTTGAAATATTAAATGAAGACAGAATTTAAATATCCCATGCTTCATTAGCATATTTGAGGACGGGTACTATTTCAAAATACTTTATTGCAAAATAAAAAAAATGCTGTTTAGATGCGGTTATTTCAGGAGAAAACCCTTATCCAAAATAACCTTTATTCCTCATACTACGTCCTGTGTCTGGGGGATTGGCTCCAGTGTGAGGGTCACGATGCTCCTGGAATTCTCCTACTTGTTCTGGAGTTGCTGGTCATCAGGTTTGTTGTCCTGAAGCTGAAGCTGCTGCTGCCCAGCTCTCTCCATCCCAGACTCCACAACTATCTCTGGATACAGGGGTTCCCCACCTGCCAGGATTCTGTCCAGTTCCTCATAGTATGCACAGTACTGCGGTCTTTCCCCAGAGCAGGAGCTGTGCTCACGGGTCCTCAGATACCCTGCCACAATTCCTTGACCTTGGCTCTGACTTGGTCTAGGATGTGGGGATGGGGCAGCGAAGTGGCCTTTCTTTGCAAGGCCATCAGCCATTTGGCCATAAATATCTGCATTCCTCCACCTGGACTTCAGGGCCTGCAGAGGCTCCTCATCGGACCACAGCTCCAAGGGGGTCTTTATCTCTGACCCAGACAATGACAGTGCCTGGTGTTTGCTGCCCCATGCTCGGTCCTGTGATGTCTCACTGAAGGGGTCTCTGGGGGCTTATGTCTGATCCCCAGGCCACACAAATGATCCAGAAGTCACTTCCCTACCTCTCCCTTTGCTGCTCTTGAGGTTTAGCCCAAAGGCCAAGAAGCTGTACTCTCCCACCCAAAAACCTCTGGGACTCCTCTCCTGCCCAGCTCCTCATTCCATGGAGAGTGGAGGTCAACCACTATCCCCACCTTGCCACTCCTGATCTTGTCCAAACAGCCAAGTTGTCCTTTACCCAAACCATACAGGCAGCCTTTCACCACCAGCTCGCCTCATGGCAGACATAGGCTTCCCTCACTAATTTTCCCAAAAACAACAAATGCAAGTATTGGTGGTATAGTGGTGAGCATAGCTGCTTTCCAAGCAATTAACCTGGATTCAATTCCCAGCCAATGCCATGTACAGAGAGATCTTGTTGCTGAATGGAAAAAACAGAGAGAGCAAGCTGAGAACCTCAAGTATGTAGTGGAGTGATGGTTCTATGGTGTAACAGGCAACACTCAGGACTTTGAATCCTGCAATCTGAGCTCAAATCTGATGGGACCTGGTGAGATTATAGTCGTTACAAATCCCTGAGAATGGATCTTCTTGCCCCTCTCCTTCAATTCCACTTTGTGCTTCTTTATGTTCTCAATTTGAGGTCTTTGGAGAAAACTCTCACGCAGTGGTGCAATGGGTCAGTGCACAATACTTATAAGGCAGTACTCCTAGAAGACGTGCTGAGGTTGTGACTTCAAACCTCACCTGAAGCAGTGGTTTTCAGTCCCTGCTGGGCTGTCTCCTCCAGTAGGAGCTGGGATTCTAGCTCAGGGAAGGGGATTGGTCAAAATTCCCCCTTCGCATACTATGGCCTCATCAAAGTGAATGGTGGGTGGCCAAGAGCCAAGGCTAACTGGCAGAGAGAGGGTTGGACCCTTGTCCCTCTCACAGCCAGGTTATTGTTGCCCATCTTTTTCCCTGGCATCAGCAGCCACTATCCCTTTCAGCCACTGGGTCAGCTCAGGAAAAGAGGTGGGAAATGGGACAAAGTAGCCAGACAAGCTGAGGGAGGCAGGAAAATTCTGATCTCTGCCTCTCCCTGTGCAAGGAAGTTTGGTATGTGTTTGGTTTAATTGTTCTACCACATTAACATGTAATGGCATGGTGATGTGTAGGTCAGTAATTGGAGCCTCAAAATGGAGTCTGTGACCTTTGATCTAGGGATCCATGTTGGAACCCCTCAGGCATTGGCCACTGTCAGAACTGGACCAGTCGGAACTGGATTTTCCCACCAAGCGGCACAAGGGCTCTATTCTCCTCAGACTTGCCCCACCCTGGCGGCTTTATAAGGGCTGAGTTGCCTCAGCCTCAGGGCTGCCCCTCTCATGGCAGCAGCGCCTGGGTTCCTCTGCTCTGCCCTCTGACAAGGAGGGACAATCCCAGCAGTGCCGGGGGGGGAGATTTTATCATCTTCACCCCCACACCCCCTGCCTGTAGCACCCACAACCTGCAATTCCCCTTCACCCACCTGTCCAGGGCAGGGCTTGTGGGACTCTTCAGGACTCCTCCCCAAGGGCCGCAAATGAGCCTGAGGGTAGAAGGTTCTGGGCACCCCCCAGCGCCACTGCCAAGTCCCGAGGAGAGAAAGAGCCCACTACCCGGGGGTTATTCTTACCATTTTAACATGCTGAGCCACAAGGTTAGATTTGGTGGGTCTGGGCTTCAAGTCCCTGTTTGCGCTGCCACCAGAACATTAGCTCTACATTGGATTATCTCCCCATTTCTCTCTTTGCCTGAAGGAGCCTGGAATAGGGGCTGGCATGAAGAAAGGAGGGTGGATTTGTGGATTTGAACCAACACTCTGGTGAGGAGATAGAGAAGTGAAGGGGCATTTTAACTGCTCCCTTCTTCAATGGCCTCTAGGCTAGGACTCCAGCTTTATAAGTTAATTGTCTGGGTAAGGTTAGCGTGAATCACTGCTTTAAGTCAGGCTTAAACTCATAACGAAAACACTTCTCTTCGGAGTCTTGCCCAGTAGATCGGGATCTACTGGTAGATCTTGGAGCCTCTGACAGGTGATCCTGACTGGTTTGGCTAAGAGGCTGTCAAGTGCAGGCACTTCAGCTGCCTCTCTCCCTACTGCTGCGCATCTCCTGCCCTTTGCCGTGGAGCTGCCTCACCCACCCTCGGGAGCCTCCTGTTTGCTGTGCAGTGCAGGGGAGGGAGAAAGTGCCCCCTTTCCCACCCTGTAGCCTAAGTCCACAGACCAAAGAGGGAGCACGAACGCTTGGGATAGAGATTGCTGGCTGCTTTTGGGAGTGGTGCAGGGGCAGGGCAGGGGTTAGCCTGCCTTAGCCCCACTGTACCACCACCCAGGAGCCACCTGAGGTAAGCAGTGCCCAGTTGAAGCCCACATCCTGAAATTCTACTGCAGTCATGAACCCTCTCCTGCACTCCAAACACCTGCCCTCGCCCTGGGCACCCCTGCATCCAAACACACTCCCAGAGCCTGCACCTAGAACTCTCTCTGGCACCCCAATTGCCTGCCCCAAGTTCAGCTCAGAACCCCTCTCACACTCCAGATCCCTTAACCCAAGACCAGAGCCTGCACTCCAACCCTCTGCCCCAACCTAGTGAAAGTGAGGGAAGATGGGGGAGGGAAGGAGGATGGAGTGAGCAAGAGTGAAGCCTTGGAAAAGGGGCACAAAGGAGGCGGAGCAAAGGTATTTGGGTTTGAGGTAGATCTTAGGTTGCACTTAAATTCAAAAAGTGATCTTGTGCTTAAAAAGGTTGGAGACCACTGCCCTACAAGTACTGTCTGCTAAACATCTGGGCTACTGGTGCTAGCTCAAGGTGTTTGCGTGTGTGTGTGTGTGTGGGGGGGGGGTGGTCACAGAGGCTTGAGCCAGGCTATTTTCTGTGGCATTAGATGGCAGAACAAGGCACAATGGTTTTGAGTTGCAGTGGGGAAGGTCTAGACTAGGTTGGCTATTAAGAAAAACAGTTTATCTAGGAGGATGGTGAAGTACTGGAAGGGGTTCCTAAGGAGCTGGTGGAATCTCTATCCCTAGAGGTTTTTAAGACCAGGCTTGTAAAAGCTCTGGCTGGGGTGATTTCGAAGAGTTGGGTTTGATTAGAGACCTCCTGCTATCTCTTCCAACCCTCGTGTTTCATAAGTCTCTGAACTCCCTGGCTGCGTCTATACTGGCAAGTTTTGGTGCAAAAACTCCCTTTTGCTCAAGATCCATTTTTCCTTATTTCAGATAGCAATATCAAAGCAGGTAGGGAAAAAAAAAACAAGAAAGTAGCTGAAAAAACAGAATAGCAAAAGCATAAGCAGAAAACCCCCCCCCCCCCACTGCCACAGTGAGCACCAAAGAAAAGCATGAATGTAGTCACCCCACTGCCAGAAATTGTACAGTCAAGCTTTCACCATTTGGGGAAATTACAGGAGTCAGCACAACCACAGTGCAACAGAGGAGCCTCACCCTGAGAAAACCACCTATTTAGTTAAGTATAAGGTCCCCAGGCACAACCACTGCCTGACCCCAAGTACACAAACACTCTCACCTCATGGTGGGCACAGCCCCACATGACCATCCTACACCGCGTCCCTCCTGCCCATTCCCACCCTGCCACCACCCTGATGCCCCAGCCCGACCCTACTTTCCAAATTTGGGCCATGCTCGCCAACCCTCTTCTGCTCCCACAGGGCTGTTCTCATGACAACATCTGCATATGGGCTCACACAGCTCCACCCCTCTCCAGCAAGACCTGCCTCCTCTGCTGTTTAGAGCCTGGCCCCACTACTGCACTGTGACCCCTAACCCCATGGGCACTTGCTCTGCCCCGTTGCAGCCCACACTGTGGAGGTGCTGGCTCTGTCAGGGGCCACCATTTGGGAGGGACCAGGTGATGTGGTTCCCAGTCTCACCCCCACCATCCTCACCCCCAGCTCAGCCCAGCTGGGTATGTCACCCTCTTGACCCAGGCCTAGCAGCCCCTCAGCAGCCAGAGCAGAGAAGGGGCAAGAAGGGAGCCCTCAGCTAGCCAGTCAGAAAGGGGGCACAGGGAGGAACAGGAACACAGACACCCTCCCTCCCCCTAAGAAAAAGCATCTGTCCCTTCTGCCCCTCCCCACGCACAGAACTTCTCCTAGCCTGCCCCAGGCATGTCACCTGACTCTTGAGAGCCTCCCTTCTCCGGTCAGCGAAACGGGGCTGATGAGGCTTCCTGCCCTGGCACGAGCCTTTGGTGGAGAATGACGCTGAAGAGCAGGAGGAGGCTCAGGCTGATGCTCCCAGGCTGAGGTGCCATTAGCGGAGGTTTGGGAAACAACTGAGAAACACCAGTAAGTCACCAGGCCCTGCGTCCCCATCTACAGCCGGATGTGACTCTTAGCCAGCAGGTAGAACAGAAGGTTTGTTACATCACAGGGGGACAGTGTAGAACAGACTTGTTAGCTCAGGTACCAGAGATGCATAATGCGCAGCTAGATTCAGCTTCCCTAGCAGGTTGGCATTTTGCATCCCTTAAGCCGACCTGCCCGGCCTAGTACAGAGCGGGCCTCAGTGAGTCACACCCAGAATTCCCATCCCCATCTAAATAGCAGTGCGGTGACTAGGGAAACTGAGGCACACACAGAGAATTACCACAGAACAGCAGGGATCGCACACGACATAGCAGAGTGAACTGAGCTGTGTGCCACTGCCGTGTGACTGCCCCGTGCACATCTTCCCATTGCAGAGTGCTCCGAGCCAGACTGTGACTAGCCAGCCCGTCTTTGGGCACCCAGGGGGTGTTTGGGTTTGTTACCAGCACTGAGCTTTGTACAGTAGCCCTGGGAACATTGTGAAAAGCCAAAACCTTCCAGCCCTGGGTGTCCCTGGCCGGCCAGCAAGTGGCACAATGGTTCCCAGCAGTGCTGACTTTGGGTAATTTGAAAGAAATAACTACAGCTCAAGTGAGGTGGCTGAGTGGTGACAATGATGGACTGCTAATCTGTTGTGCTCTGCACACGTGGGTTCAAATCCCCCCCCCCCAAATCGGGTGTTTGCAACCATCTCATGGAGCTCTCCTCAGTTCAATGCCAGCCCCTCCTGTACCCCTGCCTTTTCCAGTCCCCTTCCCACTGCAGTCTGGGGAAAGGGGAAATCTCCACAGACACTCCCAGATGGGACCCTCAATCCCTTCTGCCCTCAGGGGGAAAACTCACAAAGGAGATTATATCAATCCAGAAAGTTCAGCTGGAGTGACGTGAGCACACAGGGCAAAGCAGATCACGCAAGAAATAAACACAAACACCATCTAAGCCTCAGAAACTAGATAGGCTGAGAATGAAGCAGCATCTCACCCTCATACACAGCAGGAACAGTCCCCCAAGCTTTGATACACAGGCAGGCAGGAGCTGAGTTTGTTTGAGACCTCAGGGACCCAGCATGAGGCACCATCCCTGGCATCTCTCTGAAAGTGGCAGAAGGGGATTTGTTACGTTATTTGAAACGGGGATGGGAAGTGTGAAGAGAGTGTCTTGGGGGTTGTGCAGCTTGTGTGTGGCCAAAACACAGACCTCACTGGGAACAGGATTTTTAATCTGCACCGGGAAACCACAAACTCCCACTGTGCTTGGGGAGCCAGGTGTGCTGTTTGAATTCTGTGTGGCAGGTGACGTCAGGCCTGGGCACTGGGATTATTTACCAGTTTTCCTTGCCCTAGGGCACTACTGCACTCATAGCTGTAATGCCCGAGTGGTTAAGGTGTTGGAATTGAAATCCAATAGGGCCACAGTTCCCAAACTTTTTGGCATCACGTGTCCCCCCTTTTTGATTTTTGACAAACCCTCAGCCCCCCTCCCCCAATAGCAGGGAAACTTAAGCAAAAAAAAAAAAAGAACTGAGCGGGGCAGCAAAACTTGATGGGGGGAGGCTCACCCCCACCTAGAATTTCTTCAGGCCTCCCTCCTCCCAGTTTGGGAACTCATGCAATAGGGTTTCCCTGCACAGGTTCAAAGCCTGTTCACTGTAAGACCTGTGCTTTGGCCATACTCTCTCCACCCCACACACTGTGTTGATGCAAACCTTTCCACAAACTACAAATTGCTAATGGACACTCACAGTTAATTATATCATTACACCTGAGCCATTTTCCTAGTGCAGCAGCTGGGGAGATCAGTTTAACTTACTTTATAAAACAGATTAAGCATTGTGACTTTCTTGTGTTACTCTGTCAAACTCCATTTTAAACAAAGTAAAACATTATGGCCAACATAAAAAGTTTCAATGTTTTCTTTTACTTAAGGCAGGGGTGGAGAACCATTTTTCAGTTGGGGGTCACTGACCCACAGAAAACTCAGCTGGAGACCACACAAGTGAGAAGCCAAAAAACCCCCCAAAAACCAATAGTCTCCAAAACTTCCCAGTGCTCACTGATGTGGCCCCAACTGAGGTACCTCACTCCTCTTGTACCGCATTCTCACAGGGTGAGGGGAGGGGAGGTAGTGAGGTTCAAGGCTTACCATAGGCCAGGTTTTTTTTTCTGCGGTGCTGGAGTTAGTGGACTTTATGGAACTCATTAGGCTCAGGGGTGGAGACAAAAGTGAGGGGTACAGTGAGGGGCTGGCATTGAGGGGTGCAAGACAGGGCTGCCAGCAAGCAGAATAGGTTGAAAGATCTGGGAGGGAGCTGCAGTGCAGAAGCATGCTGGGAGTAGGGTATCTGGCCAGGTGGAGGGAGCAGGAAGAAGAGAAAGAGCAGTGCATGGCCAGGAAAGAGGATGCAAAAAAAGGGAGGGTGTCCAAGCAAGCTGGAGATGTTGGGTGGGAGGGAAGTGAGAGGATGGGATGGGATGGATTTGGGAATGTGGGGGAATATTACCTGGCTTCATGCCCCCTTGCAGCAATATCTCCAGCCACTCTGTAATGGCCACCATAGAGAGATATCCTGTTGCTGCTGCAGCCATGCAGTCTAGGGCCAGCCCAGGACCAGAGGCATTGCTGCTGCAGCCACATAGCCCAGGGCCAGAGGTGCTGCTGCCAGAGCCACGCAGCCAAGAGCTGGCCCGAGGCACCGTGCCATGGCCACGTGGCCCTGGAAGCACGGGAGTCCCAGCCACTCTGTAATGGCCACCATAGAGAGATATCCTGTTGCTGCTGCAGCCATGCAGTCTAGGGCCAGCCCAGGACCAGAGGCATTGCTGCTGCAGCCACATAGCCCAGGGCCAGAGGTGCTGCTGCCAGAGCCACGCAGCCAAGAGCTGGCCCGAGGCACCGTGCCATGGCCACGTGGCCCTGGAAGCACGGGAGTCTATGGCTGGTTGCAGTGGCAGCAGTGCCTCCAGCCTCTGGGGTTGGCCCCAGGTCATGTGGCAGAGGTGTGCTGACGACTTTCCAGTGGCTGCTTGGCAGAAAGAAGGGCAGGGCTGAGCTCCTTCTCCTGCAGCACATGCCTGTAAGGAGGTGGGGCCTGGCAGTGCCTCACCGGCAGGATCAAAGCCCTAGGCAAGCCAGATTCTGCTTGCTGAGAAGTTTTCCCTACCTCTGGTATTGGGTCTCTCCCCTGTTTGGGTTCTCCAATGTACAACAAGGTTTGAATTCTTACTGAAGCTTTTCCCACACTCAGAGCAGCTGAAGGGTTTCTCCCATGTGTGGGTTCTCATATAGAGAAGAAGATTTGAGCTCTGACTGAAGCTTTTCCCACAATCAGAGCAGCTATAGAGTTTCTCCCCTGTGTGGGCTCTTTCATGTTTAATAGGAGTTGCACAGTCACTGTAAGCATGGGGGGACTGCTGATGGGGGATTTTCTGTTGAACATTTTCTGTGTTTGTTTTCACCCCTCTGCTCTTGTGACTGGATTTACACTGTCCCTTCCTTGGATGTTTTCCATGCTGCCTTTGTGGGCTACATTGACTCTCACAGGCCTCACCTTCTTCAGGACTCTGAGTAGCATGCCCTTCAGATCCTCCCAATAACATCCCACATGGAGTCATTCACGCTGGTTCTTCTTGCTGAAGATTCTTCTCATGGTTCTCAGTCAGAGTCCCACCATCTGTTGGGACAGGGAATCCATTCAGGAGTCATTCCCTGTGCTGAGCTGAAAGGAAATTCTAAAACAGAAATAGAAAAGGGGGAACACGCTCAAAGAATGGCTGGAAAGATTGAAGCCAAGTTGACTCTTCTTCCACATAACCCTTTTACCCATCCAGCACCCTAACACTGGAGTTGAAGACAGGCTGAAGGGTCAGTTAGACTTGATGAATTTGCACAAGAGCCACCTGCTACAAGAACAGAGAAAATGGATTGTGAATCAGTTTAGCTGACTAATCACCTGTGTGGGTGTCACTGGTGATCTCTCCTTCTTTACAGCCCTGAAGATCCAGAATCTGCAGCTTTTCCCCTCGGTCCACCCTGGAGAACACATGAGCTTTGGAGACTGGATACCCTGCTTGAGGAGCAATTAAACGAGTTGATCTTGTTCATTACGGTTGGTGACATTACTGCTTCCAGAGCCAGGATCTGAGCCTCCCACCCAGAGAAACTCCTTCCACATCTTACACAGCCAAGATCCCAGGACACACTCACTTTTAGGAAAGGTGCATCCCCCCTACATCGGGAATGGCCCAGCTCATTCCCCAGGGAGCTGAGTGCTTTGATGCACTCTGTAGGGTACACCTAAGTCTCCTTCACAACCTATTCCACCCCCCTGGCATCCAAGGGCAGGGCAGGGCAGGAAAATACTGCTCAGAACGGGAGCTCTAGGGAGGGTTGGCAGGTCTGAAACCGAGGCCCCCAGGCAGGGGTCAGATTGCTGCTGCCATTTGGCAGGTCACTAGGACTTGGAGAGAAAGGACCAAGCACAGCTCTAGAGCCCCAAACGCTCTGTCCACAAACTCCTGGAGGGGGGATCATCTCACCCTGGCTCAGATTGTCTACTTGGGACAGAAGGAGGCAGAGGAAGTTGTCTGAGCAGGAAAATGAACCCGTGGCTGGTTGCTTTAGTCCCTGCTTAAGCTCCATACTCCTGATCCTGACTGCCTGTGCCTGGGTGGGCCCTGCCAGCTGCCCACAATGGCTGACACTTCTGAGGCTAGCCAGGGCAGTGCTGGGCTGCTCCTCTGGCTGGCCTGGGTGGAGACAGGCTGTGCTGCTTCTCTGGCTTTTGTGACTGTTGCTGCACCTCAGCTCCCCCTCTGCAGCCTTGGTTCTACTCTGCCAGGGGCAGCCTTTGTGTGGTTTCTCAGCCTCCCTCTTCTGGCCAGTTGGGCCTGCCATTTGGTGCTCCTTTGAGCTGCACAAAATCTACCAGAGACAGGAAAAGATTCTGAGTCCGCGCCTTCCTTCCAGAGGCTCAGCACAACAGCACAAGAGGACCCTGCACTAACAGCAATTGCACCCAGCCCCACAACTCTGGTACCTGCCATTCCTGCCTGGGCCCTTCCACTGACACCTCCAGCCAAGGCACAAGGGCATGATGGTGGGGAAGCACATGAAGACCTTGGCTGTGGGGAATAGCAGCACCATTGTTATGTCCCTGAATCTGCTTTCCCTGGGAGGGGCTATGGAGGGGACAGTCTCTCACACAGGAGCCAGGAATTATTGGGGTGGATACTCTTGACATCGTGGGTGGAGGCAATGAGGGACCCTGAACCAAACCCATCTCAGCTGCTCCACAGCCCACCCAGCTTCTGATACCCAAGAGGACAGGTATCCTTACTTAGCCAGCTCACAGCCTCATTATTCTCCTGCATCACATCCCAGTATAGGGTCTCTGGCCCAGGTCCAGGTGAGCCTATTCCTCCTCAGAGAAATACACAGCCACCTCCTCAAAGGTCACCGGCTCCGCCACAGCCAATTCCTGTCCCTGGCTCTGCAGGCCAGGGGCTGAGCTGGAGACAGACACGGGAGTTCTGCAGCCTGGCAGGGAGAGAAGGGGAATTGGAGACATTTCAAAAGGGGCTTTTAATCCTTTTCCACACATCCATTCTCTCCAGCCTCTGTCCCTGGTGACACACATGCTAGACTCTGCCATTTTGGGCAATTGCTGAGTCTAGATATTCCATAAACACCACACACAAGCTAGATGCCAAATCCACATTCATTTTTCTCAGCACCTGGCTTGAGTTTCAACATTACTGTGCCTGCAACAATGGGATTTGGTTCTAAGCCCCCAATGTTTTTGAAAAACAAGCCACTAATTATGCTGCCTGAGCATGGTGTTCTAGCAGCTAAAATCTGAAGTGTAATAAGCTCTTCCTACACACTGGGACGTCTGTTAGCCTGTTTGGCTACCCTCTGCGACGGGACCTCGGTCCTAGCAGTAAAGTCACGGACGTTAAACTCTCGGGGCTCCTTTCAGCCTTCTGGGCTGCCCGCTGCAACGAGACTTCGTGTCTTAGCAGCTAAAGACTTAGGAGACACACCCACACACTGCCCTGACCGCCGGCTGACAACCACAGACTGGCAAACCCATTCACAACTTTTGGCAGAGAAGGAACATTTTATTTGCATATTTGTTATGGAAAAAATCAATATGCAAATGAAATGCTGCCAGTCTATAATGGATCAGTTTGCCAATATCTACAACACTAAAAAAATCAAAATGTAAAGAATTCCCCTCTCACTGCTGGGTGGGCGACTGGTGCCTGCAGAAGGAGGGGCACCCACAGAGGCAGGGGGTATTTGGGGCACCCTATTAGCAATTAGCAACTAAAATATTGTCCGGGGCATGGGAGCTGGGGCCCCCTATTGCTACCACCAGTCACCTCTGCCGTCTTCTCACCTGCCCCATGAGGTGGGAGAGCTGCCATTGTATCTCCTCGGCTACGTCTAGACTGGCATGATTTTCCGGAAATGCTTTTAACAGAAAGAAACACTTTTAACAGAGTGTCTAGATTAGCATGGACGCTTTTTCGCAAAAGCACTTTTTGCGGAAAAGCATCCATGCCAATCTAGACGCACTTTTGCGCAAAAAAGCCTCGATCGCCATTTTCGCGATCGGGGCTTTTTTGCGCAAAAGAAATCTGAGCTGTCTACACTGGCCCTTTTGCGCAAAAGGACTTTTGCCCAAATGGGAGCAGCATAGTATTTCCGCAAGAAGCACTGATTTCAGACAGTAGGAAGTCAGTGTTCTTGCAGAAATTCAAGCGGCCAGTGTAGACAGCTGCTTTTGCGGAAAAACTTGCCAGTCTAGACACAGCCCTTCTATACAATCTAGGTCTCTCCCTTCTCTAGCCAGGCTGCTCTTGCTCCCAGCTCTTGCATCCCTCTCCTGCCCCCACCTCACAAATCCCTGTTCCCCTCTTCAACCCCCTTCTGACTCCTCCCAGGGCTTGCTCCCCCACCCTGCACACACTGGGATCTGGTGGCAGTTTCCCTGGGTCCCAGGCAAGGAGCACAACCAGTTCCACTGGGAGCAGCCTTGGGCCAACCCGCTCACCTGCAGCTCTGGGCACCGGGGAACTGCTCCTGGGGAAGGGAGGGGAAACTCTTACATGCCCTGCAAGGCTCACAGGGAGCAACGAGACCTGTGGTATTTAGAAAGCTGCTCCCTGTACAGCTGTGCTACTTAAGGAGAATTTAGGGGCACTGAGCATGCTCAATAACTCTGCTGTAGCCTCTGCCCTTCACCCTGCCCATCCTAAGGCTATACCTACACTGCAAAGAAACGCTGGAGAAAAATATGCAAATTTTGCTTTTTTTCTGCTTTTTTTTTTAAGAGGCTTTTCTAAAATTTGGCCCATCTACACCCCACCTACTTTCAGTAAAATCTCTTCTTCCTCCTCAAACAAGGTTTAAAGGGATGGTGAAAGAACAGGTCTGTTCTCAGAAATTTTTCTGAAAAAACAGACACATTCCTTAGACGTGGCATAGCTTTTCTAGGATCCCTCCTATATCTGTCCTGTAGTAATGCTCTGTGTATGCCTCAGTTTCCCTGAACACTGCACCAGTATCTCAATGGGGTGATGAATTTGGGGGTGACTCACTGAGGGAGGATGCCCAGGCCAGAATGTTTACAATGACTGAGGCTCATGGTAATCTGAGCCTTGCAGGGGTGTGAATTAATAAACCTTCTTTTTTACCTGCCAGCTGAGAGTCACGTCTGGCTGCAGATGGGGGGGGTGCAGGACCTGGTGACTTACTGGTGTTTCTCAGTTTGTCATGCCTCGCTATGTGCTGTAATGATCTGAGGGCTCCGGGGGACTTGCTGTCACACTCACTCACACACACACACACCCTCCGCCTCTACCCCCCCAATGAGGTTAAACTCCTGCCTAGCTCCTTCCCCTCAGACTGAGCCAGTCCCAAGAAAGCAAGTGAATGGTGCATGAAGGAGAAATAATGTAGGCAGGATGGTACCATGCTTCTGGAGCCTGAAAGTTGAGGAGATGGGGATGAATGAACATGTCTTCTAGGTGTCTAACTCACCTGTTCCTCAGAAGGAAGCAGGGCGATTCAATGTCTTTCACTTGGGGGCTGTAGGGCTTACTCCAGTCTACCTGAACTGACCCAATGCAGAAACGCCAGGGTGGGGCCCAGCCAGAAAAATTCTCTCTCTGCCCCAGGTAACGAAATCGCCCCCCGCGTCACCAGACTGAATGAACATGTCTTCTAGGTGTCTAACTCACCTGTTCCTCAGAAGGAAGCAGGGCGATTCAATGTCTTTCACTTGGGGGCTGTAGGGCTTACTCCAGTCTACCTGAACTGACCCAATGCAGAAACGCCAGGGTGGGGCCCAGCCAGAAAAATTCTCTCTCTGCCCCAGGTAACGAAATCGCCCCCCGCGTCACCAGACTGGTGGGGTGTCATGTGCTCTCTGACCCCCCCTCCCCCGTATGGTACAGCCCCACGCAGCCCGTCCCGGGGAAAACCTACCCTCCCACGTTCCCCCC